AATTCTAACACCTACCCAATGCATTTGTCAGAACATAAGGCACATTTTCCTTTGCAATATAGACTACGAGACTTGAGAACTCTGGCAACATGAGTACTAGTACTTATTCTCCTTTATGTCCTTAAACTTTGTAGGGTTTAATGAATGAAGTAATTTGACACAAGTTGCTCTGACATATAATATGATGACAGAAATATACCCAGAGCTGCCTAGTAATCAAGAATATTTTTGAGTGAACACTTGTAAATTTCTTATCATAATAAATGTATTATGATAACCATTTTCTCTCAGTAACCTGCTTGCACACTTCCATCCACTTGGCTTCCCTCTGCCTATCCTTAATTGACTCTCGAACAGTTTTTCAACAGCCAGTTTCTCTTCTATGCCAGGAGTCTTAGATGTTAAAGACAAAGTTGAACCTGGCTGCTGAGTCAAATGGAGAAAAATAAGTACATTAATAATGACAGGCCATAGTTAATATGATTTAAAGTTACATAAATATTGCACAGAGACAAGCTCCTTCATGATTATGTTTCCTTTTTTCTTAACCTTTCATGGTCAACAGCAAATTTTACAGTACTGTTTGTATCAGTCCTAAAACCAGTCAATCACTATACCATACCATAATTATCACAATTTAGACAGATAAAGAATGTACAGGACATTTTGAAAGTATGTCTACCTATTACCAAGAGCAGTGTTACAGCAACTTCAAGATCCTTGTTTATTTCATGGAACTTAATTACCAAGATGTCACACTCAGTGGAAAGAAGGAACAACCAAAAAATATGTAAATAGTGAGTCATTCATGTAATTTGTTTAAAAGGATAGAGATCTTATTAAAATAGCTACACTTTCTCCTCTTCTTTTCTTCCTATAACCAATAAGAACAAAAAAATAGGGTTAAGAAATCAGATGCCCTGAAAGGTGGCCCTCATTTTAACTACCTCAATAGTTATCTAAATTCTTTAAGACTTAGTTTTCAGCACTTTCACTACTTAAAACTGCATGGCTTCAGCAAGGCCTTTTCTCTGTGACAAGAGTGAAAAACCTACAGACTCACCACACTTGTGCCATTGCCAATGTTAATTTTCCTCTCTATACCTTCTTACATATACATTTCAGCTACTATGTCACAGGTTCTTTTCCTCACCAATATTCTGATGGTTATCGGTAGAATTTGAGCCTGGGCAAATAAACATGCTGCCAGTTGCAGACCTGTAGCTCAGGTTAGCTAGGTTAGCTATGGGTAGTAGTGAGCACCTCTCCCCTCACTACTACCCATAAGAGGATTTAAGATTCCTGAGATATTTGTAAACTCATGTTTAAGAATAAGTTAGTCCTCCACATTGTCTCCATTCTTCTGCTCCTTAATTTTGTTTATAGGTTTGACTCTGAGCACTACTGGCTCTTGGGTGAATTTCACAGTTTCTTCCCAAGTATAAGGAGAAGATTTTAGTTGGTTCCCCTATTCTGCTTTCTGCTATGAACTTTCTGCAGTTATGCCCCTGAGGTGACCCAAGAAGAATCCTCAACCTTCAAGCTTCTGACAACCTGTGTCTCCTGAGAAAATGCAATGAGACTCAGAAGACCCAAGACTAGTTACTAGAGTCACCATTCTGCTGACAGCCTAAATACAGCGATTATAAATATAGTTATGTAGCGAGTATAATCTAACATAGTGGCAGGTTCATAGGTTTTGGGGTTAAATGGACTTGGCTATCACTCATATTTACCATATGCATGACTCTGGTGGAGTTATATAATTTTCCTGATATTCAATTTCCTTTTCTGTATAATAATGTCTGCTGCATCGACATTCAAGGACAATCAAGTTAAAATGATCTGTATAAATGGCTTGAATGGTGAGCTGACCCTGGAACAGATTAGGTACAATAAATACTAAATTATATCATATTTATTTTGGGGTCTGTGTATGCCAGGCCAAAAAATAACTTCAATATATTTGTGAGTCATCTAAACTTTCACATTTAGGTGAGTACTTTTTTCCACATGAAACTTCTAGGCTGGTGGATAAATTATTTTATAAGTCAGACAGAGAATAAAAGGGGCTTGGTAACTAGGCCTCTCTTCCAGCTTCTATTCAGTTGTGTTTATGTTAATTATTAGGCCAGCAAGTGACAGAGAACATAACTAGGAAAAATGTTTAGTTTTACAGCAACCATAGTCACAACATAACGCTTGTTTGAAGTATCATTTACTTCAATCTAACAATGATTTATTGTTGGACTGTTATATTCTTACATAATGACTAGAGTGAACTGTACTTTTATACAGTAATTCAAATATATAGGATATAGTCACTGAAGCAACCAACAAAACATTTTTTTAAATTGTCAATAGAGCCAGAAACTATGTATAAAATTGTCTCCCAAAGCTCAAGTACTTTCATGAGAAAAATTGCCTTAAAGATATCTTAAGAGCTAATTAATTCTTCAGCTATCTTATTTATATTTATGTACAAAATATTTTCAGCTCAAACTGTTGCAGGTTTCTGTAGGAATAGATTGATAGATGATAGATACAGAGATGGACAGACAGACAGACAGATAGACAAATAGCAAAAAGCCAGAAGAACTTTTCCAGGAGATTCCTTTTTTTTTAATTTTTACTTTATTGATTATGCCATTACAGTTGTTCTATTCCCCCCTTCATTCCCCTCCACCCTGAACCTCCCCACCCCCACCATCCCCCCCTTTAGTTTATGACCATGTGTCTCAAGTTCTTTAGATTCTGTATTTCCCATACTATTCTTGCCCCCTCCCATCTATTTTCTATCTACTGTCTATGCTACTTATTTTCTGTACCTTCTCCCCCCTTCTCCTCCTCCCACTCCCCTGTTGCTAACCATCCTTGAGATCTTTATTTCTACATTTCCACTCCTGATCTAGCTGTCCTTTTAGTTTGCTTTTGTTTTAGGTGTGGTTGTTAATAACTGTGAGTTTGTTGTCCTTTCACTGTTCATGTTTCTTTAACTTCTTTTTCTTAGATAAGTCCCTTTAACATTTCATATAATAAGGGCTTGGTGATGATGAACTCCTTGAATTTGATCTTATCTGAGAAGCACTTTATCTGTCCTTCCATTCTAAATGAAAGTTTTGGTGGATAGAGCAATCTTGGATGTAGGTCTTTGGATTTCATGACTTGGAATACCTCTTTCCAGCCCCTTCTTGCCTGTAAGGTCTCTTTTGAGAAATCCGCTGACAGTCTGATGGGAGCTCCTTTGTAGGTGACTGGCCCCTTATCTCTTGCTGCTTCTAGGATTCTCTCTTTCATTTTAATCTTGGCTAATATAATTATGATGTGCCTTGGTGTGTTTCTTCTTGGGTCCAAGTTCTTTGGGACTCTCTGAGCTTCCTGGATTTCCTGGAAGTCTATTGCCTTTGCCAGATTGGGGAAATTCTCCTTTATTATTTGTTCAAATAAGTTTTCCACTCATGGCTGTTCCTTTCCCCCTTCTGGCACCTGTATAATTCAGATGTTGGAGCGTTTAAAGATGTCCTGGAGGTTCCTAAGTCTCTCCTCATTTTTTTAAATTCTTGTTTCTTCATCCTTTTCTGGTTGGTCATTTTTATCCTCCTTCTGGTCCACTCCTTTCATTTGAGTCCCAGTTTCCTTTCCATTACTATTGGTTTCCTGTGCATTGCCATTCATTTCAATTAGTTTAGCCTTCATATGTTCCTCTAATTTGTGACTAAAATCAATCAGTTCTGTGAGCATCCTGATCACCAATGTTTTGAACTGTGCATCTGAAAGTTTTGCTATTTCTTAATCACTTAGAGTTATGGGCTCTGGGGCTTTGAGATCTTCTTGAGCCATTTTTGGTCTGTTCGTGCTCATTAAGTATGAGGAACAGAGCCTTAGGGGCAGGGCGGGGTGGGGTTGTGATGCTGGGTGGGGTCACTGGGTTGTGATGCTGTATGTTGTGGCAGGGTCAGAACCAGGAAATGGCGGCCATCTCTGCTGCCGCCTGTCACTTGGACCCTCTCGGTCCCGTCTCACTGCCCACTCCCTCGCTGGTCTATCTGCGCAGGAATGCGCCAGCACAGTCAACCCGCTGCCCTTCACCCTCACCAGATCCACTGGTCGCTCACTGGGTCAGCCTTTTGCAACCCCATGCCTGGGATCTGCACGCCTGAGTCCATCCGACTGAGTTTTCCTGTTCAACCCCGCTCCGCCAGCTACTGGTTTTGCCCCTCTTACCGGTCAGGCTGAAGAATTCGTTGTTATCGGACTTCCAAAAAGTTCAATTTTCTGTGTTCTTGCTGTGTTTTCTATTGCTAATATTTTGTTGTCTCTAAACTTGGTTGTGTGAGAAAGCACGGCATCTCCACCTATGCCTCCATCTTGGCGGAAGTCCCCAGGAGATTCCTTAGAGTAGCACAAAACATTCTGGACATAAATGGTCATCTGGTCATCTGATATCTGGTCATCTTTGTCAACATAAATTTTTAAATGTATTTTTCTTGGTATGTTTGAACTATAGATTCTTAACACCATGCAACTTGTATGGCATCTCTTTGGAGACTGCTAACTCTGCAGAGCATGAAGATTTACATGAATACAAGTGCATCCAAATGCTACTTCACATTCCAAAGAAAATTTGTGCACAACTTTTCTATGAAGACTAAATAAGTTTTCAATTTGCCATCATCTTTTCTAGAGTATAACCAAAGATTCAAAATGAGGCTTTGGTGATGGGATAATGATCAGAGTCTCAGGAATGCCCGAGATGGCACTTAAACACCACAAAGCCCGGGGTTTTCAGGCATGGTGCTCTCTTCATACTGATAAAGATGTAGGAGATTAAGAAAACAAAAGTACCTCACTGCCAAATTTTTTAATTTTATTATTTTTCCTTGAAACAATTTAGCAAGCAGATATAATTTTAAAATACTATGCACATTCATATATGTAATTGGGTGAATTTAACTTAATAATTATTTCAGCCATAATAAATTTACAAATGAGATCCTTACCCCTAAATATAATAAGATTCCATAGAACATAAATCTCCAGAAAAAGCATCTCCGAAGGGCATTAATAAGTTTAGGATTTTTCTTTGATGCCAGTTCTCTGTCCCATTCTCTGCAAAGGAATAAAAGGTTGAACTAATAAGGTAATTGTGCAAATATTAGGGTTTATTTTGCTTAACATAGCTTTATTCACACAAGTATATCCAAGCAGATTAACTAAACAGATGAAAATTTGGGGAGACATTTCAACACTGATGCTTAGTCAGATATTTGGCAGAATTCAATGTTCCACCATATATCAGTTTCAGTGACTTGACCACATGAAAAGGCCATGATATATTTGTTCAAGGAAGGTTCTGGGATTCTTAACAGCAATACAAAATGCAGACAAATAAGTATGACTTATGAATACACATTGCTGTGCTTGGAACAAGGTGGAAAATAAACAAATATTGAATGCTTTTGCCCTTCTCCTCTTGATTTTCACCTTTTTAGAACTGTAGTAGACTTTATATGATTTAACTATCGAATCAATAACAAGATAAAAAGTCAAATGGAGTTTTCTGTGGCTTAACATTAGAAAAACTTGCTAGACTTTGTTTTAAAATGTAAGGGTATAAAACAAATATCATCAAACTTTATTTGCAACAACTATGTTTACTCCAAAGTAAGACTTAGGAAAGTTAAAAAAGAATCAAATTCTATATTTTCTAGTAGGAATATAAATTAAATAGTCTGAAAATGCTTGATATATAAATAAATGTTTTGTTTTAAATACTATAGGTTTATCAGCTAACTATATTTATTTTGTCATTGTCACTTTTTATTAGTAACAGCCCTCTTTCTCTTCCCAAGTGAATAAAATATATCTCTAAATGTTACCTTCAACTTAATTTTTAAAGTGTACAGACATAGAAAGTTTCATGAATCATAAGCAAGAACTAAATAAATAACTAGATAAAGGCTTTGCATTTAATCAACAGCTATTCCCATACCCTTCAATCTACAATCATTACAGGTGGTTCTAAGTTACTTCAAAGACAGAACACACAGCTGAGATGTGAGGGCAAGCTTGGTAGTCTTTGCATGAACAATGGCTTCCCCCAGAAGCTTACTATCTATAATGCTTAATCACCCTATCCTGTTTGTCTGTTTCCCCACTCTTCTCCACCCTTTCACTCACACACATGGGGTTTGCCTCCCATCCATATCATTCAGTGACTCACAGTAAGGTAAATATGAAGGCAGATTTAGCTTCTCTTTCAAAGAAAGAGTCAGATGAAAAAGCCAAAGAAATGGTTTCAAGGTGGAAAAAAGTGTTCAACACTGAAGTCATGTAGGAAGAGGTCTTTGTATTTGATAATTTAAAGGCCTCTGGTGACCCTGATCAGTGTCGTTTTAGGAACATGGTAGACAATGAAACCATATTTTAGGAAGCTGAGAAGTAAGTAAAAGGTGAAAAAGGGAAGAGACAAGAAGAATGGAGAAATATTAGCCATGAAAAAAAGAAAAAAGAAGAAAAAGAATGGGGTAGTGACCTGAGGGAAAGGAAAGGTTGGGAAAAATTTTTAATTGGTGAGAGTTGAACAATTTGTAGTCTAGGGGAAGTTAGCAGAGATATAGGAATTGGTCCTTGATCTTGGAAATGTGAATTTGCTACTCCTACTAGCCTAATTCTTTGAAAAAAAATCAAGAAAAATAACTTGAATGTCTTACTTTGCCTTAAAAAAGTCAAAAAATAAAGTTACCTTAAAGAAAATAAACAAATTCCAAGTCTACTCAACTTTATTTTGGTGCACTAATTTATTTGCATTTATTTATTTATTTATTGCCAACTCTCTCTCACCTCTCCCTTTCATTTGGTATCTAAATTGTACTGCTGGCACAAGACCCCATCAAGCTTATTCATTAACTGTGGTTGGCCCAAGGAGTGAGAATGTGACTCAGGGGTCTCTGAAATTTTTCCCATTTGGCCAAAAATAAATAGCTCTGTTCTCTGTAGTCTGCATGGAGGAAGCTCATTTGAGAAAACAAAACCAACACAAAGCATATGTCACCACGTGGCATTTGAGTGCTTGGTTTCATTAAGTCTCTAAAGTCAGTTCTCTATCTAGGACTTCTTACAGTTAGGCTACATAAGCCAACTAATCCCTTCTTTTTATTTATATAAGGTAGTTAATCGGATTTCCTTCACTGGCAATCATAGGGTTCTAACCAATACTCTTAGAAAAGGGGACATCTTGCAATGGGAAATACTGTTCCTGGGGAGGCCAAAAATCCAGACCTTGAGTTAGAATCAGTCACCAGCTGGAAAATTACATCAGCTCTCTGAGCCTCAGTTTGCTCTTTTGTAAGATGGAGATAATAATGCTTTTCTACCACAGTGGCTGAGAAGAGAGTTCACTATGTAATCAATATGTAATCAAATTTATGTAATAAAAATGTAATCAAATATTCAATATGTATTCAAATATATCATCAAAATTATGAAGGCTTTACACTTATTTGCTATTTAATAGCCATTACCTTAAGATTTCATTATAATCAAGTATTAGAATTTTAGAGGCAAATATACAGGGCCTGGCACAAATAATGCCTCTTTTTTATTATAAAATCTGTTATTGCAAAATTATAAGCATATAATTCTGTGACATAACAATATCATATTCGAGCACAGCATATGAAATTTTAGGTGAAATATTCAAATTGCTGTCCATCTTGTGTGAGACATTCACATACCCTACCAACCACAATCAAGCAAGTCTTACTTTTGCAGGACCCTGTACATAATTTGCTTCACATAGCTGTTATTTCAGTCTTCACAAAATGCACCTAATATTCTTTAAAGACAGATAACTTCTCAGAACTCAAATAAGTATTTTTCAGAAAAAGTTATATCTCAAGAAAATGCTACTTTTCTTTCAACCTTTCACTGTTTAATTCCTAATTGATCAAGACTTCAGCAAGAACATAAGATGCTCCTACTTTACTTTTTTAAAATTTTTATCCTCACTCAAGGATGATAGTTTATTGATTTTAGAGAGAAAGAAAGAGGGGGAGAGAGAGAGAGGAAGGGAGAGAAACATCAATGTGATCCCATAACTGCCCTGACTGGGATGCGAACCCACAACCCAGGTATGTGCCCTGAATAAAAATTGAACCCTCAACTTTTTGGGGTATGGGATGACATTCAACTTACTGAACCATCTGGCCAGGCATGTGCTCCTATTTTAAATATGCTATTTTACATATTAAGTCCTCTGATATATCAGTTCTGTAAGTAATTAATAACAAATTTTTCTCTCCAATGAATAAACAATGTAATGAACATACCTTTCTAATATTTCAGAGAGATTATCAGCAGAATCAGCTGAAGGGATCTGGTATATGTCTGACAACTCCAGCCGCTGTCTATAACCTTTCTTCAAAATTGGTGTAGTCCAGCTAAAACAAAGAGAAGAGCAGAAAGAAATACATACTTGATTTGGTCTTTAATGTAGACTTTTAATCTGATATCATTTCAAATCTTCTGGTATGTGGAGAAGGATGGAAATGTAAATATGGATAACACAACTTGAGTTTTATATAAATACCAGGGTTTCATATCTTACAGGACACATTTGTATGAAACACTAGCACCTCTGAACTAATACGACTTTGTTGCTTTGTCAGAAAGAATCAAGAATGGTGGTAGAATCCTCCCTAGAGGAAAAAAAAAACAAACTGCTAAACATTCTATATTAAAAGAATTCTTTAAAAAAAACCACAGCCCCCAAATAAGCAGATACTTGGAGTTTATAGCTTTCTGTAATTGCTAAAGTCCAGTCTCTACCACTTCAAAGGTGAAATGATCCATGAATAATAAGAAGACTCTCAGTCAGCACCCTTACATAATTTTGTTACTGTAGCACATGACAGCCAGCACTCAGCAATAAGCTATTTAATAAATTTACTATATATAGCAGGAGGGTTAATGAATAATTTATATCAACTTGTTTACCTAATTATCACATATGCATTATTACTTGAGAATGAGGATCATAACTTTCTTACTTTTTGTCTTCTTACCCCACATCATAAATAATAATTTATGACAGAAATCAGTGAAGCTGGTATGGTAAATAATTAGGCAGGATACCCCAGCTATTTCCAAATACATTGTTTCTAACTATTATGGAAAGGCAGAATAATCTTCACAAAAATGAGTAAAACTAAAAAGAAGGAAAAGAAAGAGGAGGGAAGAGGAGGAGAATTGTGAAACAAAGAAATTATGTACAAAGAGAAATTTCTAAATGAAAATTGAATGAAATGTCATTTATAGAAGAAAGAATTGACCTGGAAGTAGTGACCCCCAAACATATGCTCTTTCCCTTGCATCTTTTTTTTTCTTCAGAGATTTCTAAAATTTTGTACCACTGGGACTTGGTAATACAACAAACTGTGTTTTAGCCACCAAAAAATCAAATGGGTGTAGTTTCTTGTTTACACTTCCTTGGTCTCCAACTTCTTCAGTTGGCCCCTGCCCTATGTTCCTGATATCTCTACAACTTGTCCTTCCTTAAAAGTTAACTGAATTAGGGCCCAACCTGAAGGCTAAGTAATTTTGTCAATCATTTCTTTTTTTAATATACTTTATTGATCATGGCTATTACAGTTGTCCCATTTTCTCCCCTTCACTCCCCTCTACCCTGCACACTCTCACCCACCCATATTCCTTGCTTTAGTTCATGTCCATGTGTCATATTTATAAGTTCTTTAGCTTCTACATTTCCCATACTACTCTTACCCTCCTCCTGTCTATGTTCTACATACCATCTATCCTACTTATTCTCTGAACCTTTTCCCCCACTCTCCTCCTCCCATTCCCCTGTTGCTATCCCTCCATGTGATCTCCATTTCTATGGTTCTCTTCCCATTCTATTTGTTTGCTTAGTTTGTGTTGTTTTAGGTGTGGTTGCTAATAATTGTGAGTTTGCTGTCACTTTACTGTACCTGTTTTTTATCTTCTTTTTCTTAGATAAGTCCCTTTAACATTTCATATAATAAGGGCTTGGTGATGATGAACTCCTTGAACTTGACCTTATCTGAGAAGCACTTTCTCTGCCCTTCCATTCTAAATGAAAGCTTTGCTGGATAGAGCGATCTTGGCTGTAGGGCCTTGCCCTTCATGACTTGGAATACTTCTTTCCAGCCCTTTCTTGCCTGTAAGGTGTCTTGAAAACTCAGCTGACAGTCTGATGGGAACTCCTTTGTAGGTGACTGTCCCCTTATCTCTTGCTGCTTCTAGGATTCTCTCCTTCATTTGAATCTTGGCTAATGTAATGATGATGTGCCTTGGTGTGTTCCTCCTTAGGTCCAAGTTCTTCGGGACTCTCTGAGCTTCCTGAACTTCCTGGAATTCTATTTCCTTTGCCAGATTGGGAAAGTTCTTTTTTATTATTTGTTCAAATAAGTTTTCCACTTGTTGCTGTTCCTCTTCCCCTTCTGGTACCCCTATAATTTGGATGTTGGAACATTTGAAGATGTTCTGAAGATTCCTAAGCTCCTCCTCATTTTTTGAATTCTTGTTTCTTCATTCTTTTCTGTTTGGTTGTTTCTTTCTTCCTTCTGGCCCACTCCATTGATTTGAGTCCCTGTTTCCTTCCCATCACTATTGGTGGGAAAATTTTCCTTTATTTCACTTAGTGTAGCATTCATTTTTCCATCTAATTTGCAACCAAATTCAACCAATTCTGTGAGCATCCTGATTAGCAGTGCTTTGAACTGTGCATCTGATAGGCTGGCTGGCTATCTCTTTGTCACTTAGTTATATTTTTTCTGAAGCTTTGATCTGTTTTTCCATTTGGGCCATTTTTTTTCTCTTGACATGCCTGTTATGTAGTGACAGGAGGAGCCTTAGGTGTTTCCCTGGATGGGACAACCCAGTCACTGGGTGGCAACGCTGTATGCGGGGGAGGGATCCAAGAGGGAACAATGGCACTTGCTCTACTCTCGGCCGGATTTCAGTCACTTCTGCTGCTTCCCCCAAGCAAACTGGGCCCTTCTGGTGCTGATTCCCATGTGGGTGGGTTTGTGTACATTCTAGGCCTCTGTGGGTCTCTCCAACAAACTCTCCTTTGAGGCTGGGAGTCTCTCCTGGCACCTCAACCTTCACAGGTGTTTTCAATCAGTGTTTTGAAGCTTTATTTCCTCGACCTGGGACCCTGGGTTGCACTATCTATCTTGCTCCCCAGTTTTGCCTGGTTTATCTGCACACAAATGTGGGGCTGCCCAGTTCCACAGGCCACCTTGCATGCCACGCCCCTCCATGATCAGTCCCCACACTGGGTCCACCTTGCGTGCCCAGGGTCCACCCACCACTGCTGTTTTTGCCACAACCCCTCTCCCTTTGGCTGCCCAACTGCACCCCTCCTACTGGTCTGGATGAATGTATCTATTTTAATACCTTGGTTGTCAGACTTCCATACAGTTCACTTTCCTGTAAGTACTGGGTTTTTTTGTTTTTAAATTGTTGTTGTTCTTATTTTGGTTATGTGAGGAGGCACAGTATATCTATCTACACCTCCATCTTGGCTGGAAGTGATTAATCAATCATTTCTTGCTAAGATATCAAAGAGTGATCATGGTTTAATGCCACTTTTTTCTATTTTATTGCATTATTTGTATCTTAACAAGAGCCTTAACAAAAGGGATGATAATTAGGTTTTGTCTTTATTGCCTAGTCTGATCCTTTGGTCATTTTTCTTGTAGAACAAGAATAAAAATAGTTGGGAACTGTCTGAATACAGCAGTTGAAGAAGAACCACAGTAATGCAGGAGGTACAGTGGTATCACTGAGAAGGTGATGTCATACCCTCGCTGCACCATCTCAGTGCCGGACATATGCATAGGAAGCAAACTTGGAACTATAGATAGCAGTTAGGCTGTGGAAAATTGGGGAAAGAAACTTAGGATATAAACTCCATCTTGTTATTAGCTTTCCTAAACTTAACCCCAAAAATAAAAAAGTGAAGCAACTGTTTGCTATTAAAAAAACTTATACATATATAGCATTTTCCAAGGAGCTTTCACAAACACTAGCTTGTTGTGATTTTAATTTTAAAATCTTGTTAGGTAGAACAAAAAGAGAACAGTATTCTATTTTAAGGATAAAATAATGAAGACCCAGAGATGATAACTTGTCTATTACTAAGGCAAAAACTATAGATTTTTACCATGTTCATCTAACTTCCTTCCTTCACCATGCTCAACTTTTCCAATGCAGGAAAATTAAGCATGGTGAGTTGTACAAGACAAAGAGCTAGTTGAGCCTAGAAGCAGGAAGACCAAAAGCTGGCAGACTGCAGGCAGTGGTGTGGTGTACTGGCAAATCTTTAACCATCCCTTCTCCGGGGAAAAGAAAAAGCAAAGAAAAAAAGTGACATGTAATTTGCCGATTTCTCTGGCATAAATAGATATTCCTGCTATGATTAATTATGAGCCACCAAATGTGAAGTTATTGAACACCTAGTTGGGAAGAGATACACAGTTGCATGTCATAATATAGGATGTTTATTATTCAGATAGTATGAACATAAATAACCTCAACAACATGGATAATAGTAATATTTAAAATAATTAGATAGTGAAAACTTTTGAGTTTTTATTGCCTTTGTTTTAATGTAATTTATTTAACTGTAAGTTTAGATTATTTCATTTTTAATGCCAGTCGTACTTAACAACCAGCTTACAAATATTTTAAAATTTTAAATATAAGAAATGGCCAACTACAGCAGTTCACTGTTGCCAGATGATTGAAAGACTTGGAACAGGATGATGTGATTGAGTACATAAAGAAAAGGCCTATGAAAGATTTAGTAAAAGGAAAAATATATTCCATTTTTCAATAAAGTTTGCATTTCACTGTTTGAAATTATTAAAATTTCAAATAAATAGATTTTTACAATTCATAAAGACATTTTCAGAAAATTTTAAAATATATTTTCATATTTAAAAAACATATAAATGTATATCTTTGGTCCACATCTAAAAGCTGATCACCATTCCTATAAATAGTCTCCATCTCACTTTAGAGCACACAGTTTGTGGGCCACTTTTATAAAACTTCAGGTGTTATCTGTGCCCATTTTAATATCCATGTTACACTATGACATCTAGTTTTGATTAGCAGGAATTCTATATTGCAGCATGATCAAACAAAACATATTCAGTAGCATTAAAACATGTTAATCATTTACAATTATTAATATAATTTAGTCTTTTTCTCACAGGTTCACCACAATAAACCCGTATTTGTAATACTGAAATAGAAACTTGACTTAAAAGTAAATTACAAGAACTAAAATCAATTAACTTTGGCAATTACCAGAGTTATCTTAGCAAAAAAAATTATTCTGTGAGGTTAAACCAATAAAAATTGAATGAAATTTCTGCTCCATCAAGGA